AATATCCAGAAAAATGGAAGGTATGTCAGTTTGTTGTAGTGGTTAAGTTTGGTGTGGTCAGTTTGGTGTAGTAGTTAAGTGTGCGGACTCTAACCTGGGAGAACCGGGTTTGATTCTCCACTCCTCCACTTGCACCTGGCTGGATGGCCTTGGGCAAGCCGTAGTTCTGATAAGAGCTGTTCTTGAAAAAGAGCAGTTTCTGTCAGAGCTCTCTCAGCCCCACCTACCTCACAAGGTGTCTGTTGTGGGGAGGGGAAGGGAAAGGAGTTTGTAAGCCGCTCTGAGACTCCTTCGGGTAGTGAAAGGCAGGGTATAAATCCAATCTCTTCTTCTTCTTCTTCTTCTTCTTCTTCTTCTTCTTCTTCTTCTTCTATTTCTGCTAAGGATTTTTTAAATTCCCCTTTTCCAATGGAAAAACTGGGAAGTCCGAGGGAGCACCGGGAAAAAAAAACCCTTCTGGAATGTGTGAAATACTTTACAAGGCAAGGTTTTACTCAATCAAAATGTGTACTGTCAAGATTTTATGTAAAACAATTAGATAACGGTTTCCTGTGCATACTACAGACATACTGTAGACATATTGTTATAATTTTCTGTTACCCCAGAAGGTCGCACCAGAAGTAATGGGTTGAAATTAAATCAAAAGAATTTTCGGCTAAACACTAGGAAAAACTTCCTGACAGTTAGCGCGGTTCCTCAGTGGAACAGGCTTCCTCGGGAGGTGGTGGGTTTTCCTCTTTTGGAAGTGTTTAATCAGAGGCTAGATGGCCATCAGACAGCAGTGCTGATTCTGTGAACTTAGGCAGATCATAAGAAGGAGGGCAGGAAGGGTTGCCTCAGTGCTTAGTTCTCATGGCCCTTTCTTAAATGCCCAGGGAAATGCTGATCGCCACTCTGGGGTCAGGAAGCAATTTTTCTCCAGGCCAATTTGGCCAGGGAACCTGGAGGTTCTTTTGTCATCTTCTGAACATGGAGTAGGGGTCACTGGGTATGTGTCTGTGTGGGGGGAGATAGGTGTGAATTTCCTGCATTGTGCAGGGTGTTGGACTAGATGACCCCTACTGGAGGTCCCTTCCAACTCGATGATTCTATAATCAACACATTTTCAAGCACATACTTATTATTTAAATGTGGTCTTGTACAAATTAAAATGCTATAATGCATAAAATGTGATTGCATTATTCAATGTTTTCAGTGTTCTTAACTTGATAAGTAAATATACTGCTATTATGACTGTGTCTGGACACCACACTTTCCTTTGCTACACAAATTATGATTTCTATTTTCAACTTATATTTTCCCCTAACTCTCAGATGGCAAAAACTAAGATACATGTGATAAAGCAGTAGAGTTCAGCCGTTTGCTACTCTCTCTCTCTGTCATCCTGATGTACTTGCAATTTAGCTTGTAGAACTCTCAGGCATTTATACTTTTTTTTTTTAAATCCCCGGAGGGATATTTTTTATTATTTTTTTATAAGACTACAAAACTACAAAGAAAATATAAGGGAAGGGGATTACATCAAAGGATAAAGGATAGATAACCACACTACACTAAAAACCCAAGAGGAGGAGATCATATCTAAGTGCTATCTAAATTAATCTAAATTAATCTAAGTGTTATTAATAAAAGTGTTAGTACAACAATATACTTGTAGAGTTCTTGTTTGTCTCGGCTTCAATGAGGCATTTATACTTTTGTGATGCATTTTTATGTCATTAAGGCGGCAAAATAAGGCTATGCTTGATGAAAAGGTTTGTATGTATTTCAATTCCCCCCTACATTTCTGCTTTACCCAGAACAAAAATGCTCTCCTGCCAATGGCTTCAAAATTTCCTCAGCATTCTGAGCATTTGACCTCTTCGCTGTTAGGGCGAGAGGGTACACAGGGAGCATGGACTATGTTATATTTGTTCACTAAAATTCACAGTACCACCTGACAGGCATCACCATACATTAAAAATGATCTTTGTAATTTTAGGCAGCAAAGTGGAAACTAGGCATCTGTCTGGTCTTAGACGAATGGGAAAATAAACTTGCCGAATATGAAGTAACAGCGAAATAAACAACTTATTTGCGAAACAGGATCAATTACGAAATGGGAGGAGAGATGGAGTGTATACTAAGCAAGCAAGAGACAAGCCGTTTAAAATATTGTATACAACTGTATGGGAATGAGGAAGAAGTGCAATGTGAATTAGTTTTAAATTTAACATCCTGAATATTAATGTGTGTAAGAAAGTAGACTTTGGGGAGAAACATCTTTTTAAATTTTCTTATAAGAAGATATATAATAGATCTTCCTCCCGTGCTTTTTGCTATATTACCTTATTTGTTAAAAATAATCGTGAGAATGCAAAAGAGATGAAAACATGTAATACTGAGTATGTAGCAATGATGAAACTAATGATGTAGCTACAAAATAGACTTGTTACAAAGTTTGAAATGTAAAATGATGAATATAAATATATCCCATCAGAAGTCAAGATCACGGTATATTATAGACAAAGTCATAAAAATTTTCAATGTAATGAAGGGGGCATTGGGGAGAAATATTTTCTGTCTTTTATACTTTGTTATATGTAACCATCTTTGAGATATATATATATAATTATGTTAGGTAACCCTTTTTCTTTTCCGTATTTCCTTTATACTATTTTTGTTTCTTCAAAATTAAAAAAAAAATCAAAATGATTATTGCAATTTGATGTCAATGTGTTATAATGTAAACAATAAGGCAGTATGTAATATCACTTCTTGTAACTGTACAATTCTATTAAAACATTAAATTATAAGCAATTCTTATAAACTGCCTACATATACAATTCCATTTTGGAGTTCATCATACTTGGTACTGTGCTTCCAAATTTAGTTATAGCTGTTCGTATGCGGGCTACTTTTTCTTCTTTTGAGTACTAACTTTGTGTGCTTCAGTTTTGCATTTGTTTTCTCTTTCAAACAATTTTTTAAAGATGCCAGTGAATGAGGGAGAGCTCAAAGAGAGGCACAGAAAAAAGAAAAACAGAAAAAACTTCCCATTGTACGGGAAGGAGAGGGAGAAGAGCGCAGAAGCTCATCTGAGGAAAAAGATGGGAAATAAAGAGGTGGAAAGATAAGCAAGGCAGATTTTAATTGTAACATCTACTGATAATGCAAGAGAAAGATACAATCGCATTAGCGGTGTTTGGGCTCTGAAGCTAATGGCAATAGGGTTGCCAAGTCTGGGTTGGAAAATACCTGGAGACTTTGGGGGTGGAGCCAGGAGAGGGTGTGGTTTGAGGAGGGGAGGGGCCTCAGCATAGTACAATGCCATAGAGTCCACCCTTCAAAGCAGCCATTTTCTATAGGTTAGTACGATCTCTGTCGGCTGGGGATCAGTTGTAAAAGCGGGAGATCCCCAGGCCCCACCTGGAGACTGGCAACCCTGAATAGCAACAAGAGGTGGGGGGAGGGAGGGAGAGAGGGAGAGAGAGAGAGAGAGAGAGAGAGAGAGAGAGAGAGATACAGTGCATGGGAAAGTCTACGGCAATTGTTAGAATGCTTTATGAGACAGCGTAACAATATCAGCTTCATTCCAGACAGAATATGTACACAATTAAGCCCGGCTACACAATGAACTGAATGAACTCTCCAGATCTATAAAACAATACTTTGTTATTTAATTAAAACAAATTAATAGTCCAGTTATACTATGTTCTGTGGGGGTACAAAGCCAACTCAATGCTTTTTATCACAAACCGTGGGTATAACTTTTAACGACATTCTGTCTTTTAAAAGACAATTTTGTGGCAAAATTGATATCAAAATATTTTACCTTACAGAAACAAACAAATTTATTTTGTTTGAGAAAACACATCTTTGAAGTTGTGTCATATTGGCTGTTTCAGCAACGGTATTCTAAATGCCACTGTTGTCATTCTAACCAACTACAACGACGAAAATTGAAGAGATTCAGACAATTTGCATCAAAGCTGTATACAATCTATGCAAATCTCATTCATTACAAACATACACACACACACACCCTGACAAAAAAACACTTATTATAGAATTTGCTTTAATTAAAGTCTGGTCTACGCATGTTGCGGAATGAGAGGACCCTCTGTGGTTCAACAGGCTGTGCCATTTCTAACTACAGGGGTGGGATTATAACTGTCAGAGCTTCAGATAATTCCCTCTAAGTGAAAAACTAGCATGACACCTAAAAGGCTCGGTTAGAATCTTCCTCCCTGATGGACTCCATTTGTCTGCAGGATGTTTTTTTTACATTGGGAACATTAAGAATGTTCTCACTTGCAGCCTGAAATGGCATCGCTCAGTTTACTGCTTCATTCCACTGAACAAAGTTTGCGTCCAGTGGCACCTTTAAAGACCAACAAAGTTTTATTCAAGGTATAAACTGGCTCATACCTTGAATAAAATTTTGTTCGTCTGAAAGGTGCCACCAGACTCAAACTTTGTTCTGCTGCTTCAGGCCAATACGGCTACTCACCTGAATCTAGCTTCGTTCCACTGCATGTGTACACCGGGGGGCTCAGCATGAATGTATCTCCTCAAAGCTGCGTAATGCAAAATATGCTAAAAAGGCAGCAGTATGATTTTGGGGGTTATGCCACTTATAAATGCTTAGGAATTATACGATTGTAGTGCCACAAAGAGCAGTGTATTGAATCCCAAAGCTTGTTGTCTGTTTGGGGGGGGGGGGGGGGGGGGGAGAATATGGATTACCCTGTCCCCCTGCAGATCCCCCCTGCCCTCGTTTGGGGGCCCCCCCCCCCCCGAAGCTCAGTGGGCTGCACTGGAACAGGCAGGGAATTCCATTCTGCTGATAGAAGCGCCTTCTCTGAGCAGAAACCTACCTTTGGAATCAGCCTCAAATGTCCAGGTATTCTACCATTCCAATGCAGGAATCACAGTGGATTTTCACAGACATCCCCCTCCCCCAATAATTCACAGCCTTCATGACTGAGAGGAAAAGCAACAGCTGATGCTGTTTTTACCTTTGTTTCAACCGTCTTTTGGCTGTAGTGGGAACGTTAGCTCCATATCCATAGGAGAACAGAACTCGCTCTGCTTCATCTTCGTCTTCCACTATGAAAACACAAAGCAGACCTACAGAAGAACCGTCATCAAATCTAGTTTAAATGATTCCATCTATAAATTCTACACGTATGTGTGTGTGTGTGTGCATATATGTGTATATATATATATGGTACAAATATATATGGTACAAATGAGGTGACTAATATAATTTCACAAACATGGAACTGCATAATTACAGTTGCCAAAATATCTGTCATTCAGTGATAGTGGTGGGGTTACCAACCTTCAGGTCGGGCCTAGAGATCTCCTACTATTACATCTCCAGATGACCGAGATCAGTTCCCCTGGAGAAAATGGCTACTCTGAAGGGTGGACTCTATGGCATTGTACCCTGCTGGGGTCCCTCCCCTCCCCAAAACCGTGCCTTCTCCAGGCCCCACCTAGGCTTGCCAAGTCCCCCCGGGGGGCGGGGAAATTCCCGCCCCAGAGGCCCGTTCCCCGCCGCCGGCAGATCAGGACCCGGGGGGAACCCCACCCCGACGTGGGAGTCACCTGGGGGCGGGGCCACGGTCATCCGAGGGAAAACTCTATGTTCCCCTCGGATGGTTGTGGCCCCGCCCGCAGCGTGCCTGGCGTCATCATGTCACTTCTGGGTGACGTGCGTGCGGTGCGCGCAAAGCGCGCGTGCTCCAGCCACCAGCGGGGAGTCCCCTGCTCCGGCAAAATTTTGACTTGGCAACCCTAGCCCCACCCCCAAACTACCAGGAATTTCCTAACATGGAGCTGGCCATCAGTAGTTTTATATATTTCAATTCAATGAGCATGACCAATACCAAGGAAGACTGAAGGATATGCAAAGGGCCCAGTGAAAAATGGACCTGTTGTGTTTTAACAGCTGGGATTTATTTCACAGGTGATGTTGTCCCTTTGGGCAGACTAGTCTGTTGCTCGGAGGACAAGACCTCTGCAGCCTGAAAAGGAAGAAAGCAGAGGGGGAGGAGGAAGTAGAGCAGGGGCTGTGAGGAGGACAGAAGAATAAAGCCTTGTGCTAAGAACCCGCCTTGCGTTGTCCCCTTGCCTGCGTCAAGCGACACAAAGATGGTTGGTGTGTGACTGACTGAACAAGCCGGGAGCAAACAGCCTGAAAATAAGATCTCCATATATATTCAGGCAATTGGGAAAGTAAGTGTTTATGCAAATCAAAGGACATGTGGGGAGTCGTCGTAAAAGACGCCTGATGAGGCAGCTAGCAAGGAATTCAGTACTGGTCTCGGGGCCACAGCGCCAACTTTAAGTTGACTAGAGAGCTGTACAAAAACAGAATGAGCACACTCGCGTGGGCATGTGTATTCTTCCCCACACAAACACACACAAACTTTGGCCTTTTTCTTTCACGTATTTATATTCCAGCTAATGAACGCTTAAATAGAGATCTACACATTCTCTTGGTTACGCACACGAACGAGACCTGCTTCAACAAGTACGACAAACTGGACGGGAGGAAGTGTTTCAGTTCACTTCTCCCTGCAGCAGACTGGGCGTGCGAAAAGTGAGTCACCTCAACTTCGTTCTCTTCCCAAGGAGCAACTTCTCTTCTTGAAGCAAGTAAAATGCTTAAACAAAGCATTTGGCAGCTACCGTTGGAAGGGTAGTTCTCTCTAGCGACAGAGGCAATTTAGTACTGCTGGAGCCAGGCCATTCTGTATATGCCCTGCTGCCCACAGGCCCAAATTCCTTCCTGAGAAAACTACCGGGACACAGGTGTTATTCATTTCCCACACCCTGTCTAAACTAAGGGTCTCTAGGACGAGGACAAAAAGTCTTGAGTTAAAGTGGTTAAGACGCTGAACTGCAGGCTGTGGAAGGTCAGTAGTTCAGCAGTTCGAGACCCGAGTTGCCGCATGACAGAGTGCACTCCCGTCTCTAGTTCCAGCTCCTGCCAACCGAGCAGTTCGAAAGCAAGAAATTGCAAGTAGATAAATAGGTACCACTTCGGTGGGAAGGTAACAGCGTTCCGTGCACCTTGGTGCTTAGTCATGCCGGCCACATGACCACGGAAACGTCTTCAGACAGCGCTGGCTCTTCGGCTTTGAAACGGAGATGAGCACCGCAACCCTAGAGTCGGACTCGACTGGCTTTCGAGCAAGGGAACCTTTTTATGGAGAGAGTGGCTAGGGCCAAAGTGCCAACGATGGAAGGGGCCAAGAGTCTTTATTTTGCCCTGAAGTATGAAGTGCACTTAAATATACCAAAGAAGTTAACTCTTTGAAGGAAGTACACGCACACACAGATAACACTATGTTATATATATTGGGGGCCTGGAGACCAAGCCCAATGAGGAAAGGCTGAGGGACTTGGGAAGAGGAGGCTGAGGGGGGACATGATGGCTCTCTTGAAGTATCTGAAGGGCCGTCACTGAGAGGAGGGCAGGGGGCTATTCCTCTTGGCGGCAGAGGAGAGGACTCACAATAATGGGTTTAAATTAAGGGCGGGAAAGTACCAGCTGGATATTAGGAAAAGCTTTTTTACCGTAAGAGTTGTTCAACAGTGGAATCAGCTGCCTAGGGTGAGCTCCCCCTCACTGGCGGTCTTTATGCAGCGGCTGGACAAACCCTTGTCAGGGAGGCTCTAGGCTGCTCCTGAATTGAGCAGGGGGTTGGACTGGGTGGCCTGTATGGCCCCTTCCTACTCTGTGAGATTCTATGATTCTACGAATTACTGCATTATATTAATAAAAAACCTTCATATACATATATATATACACACACATATATACACACACACATATATACATATATATATAGTGGTGGTGGAAAGTGCCATCGTCACAGCCGATTTATGGTGACCCCCTCATGGGGTTTTCAAGGCAAGAGACACATTCAGAGGTGGTTTGCCAGTGCCTACCTCTGCATAGTGAGGCTGGTATTTCTTGGTGGTCTCCATTCCAAACACTAACAAGGTCTGACCCTGCCATGTATGTGTGTGCGTGTGTGCGTGAGAGAGAATGAAAAAATTAAAAAAAAAACATTCTATGATAATTTGTTTCTACCCAGTGTCATCTTCATCAGGCGTTACAGGCTGTGGCTGGTTGGCTCAGACTGAGCAGGTCCTGGGCCTGAGTCGGACCGGCGTAAAACTGGCGCTCCCTCTCCCGACCTTCGATGGGGCGCCTCTGGTGCCAGCATCGGAGGTTAGGAGTTTGGGTGTGCTCCTGGACTCCTCCTTAACGATGGAGGCCCAGGTGGCAGCCACTGCCAAGTCGGCCTTTTACCATCTTTGGCTGGCACGACAGTTGGTCCCTTTCCTGGACCGAGATGACCTGGCCACAGTGATCCATGCGATGGTCACCTCGAGGCTAGACTACTGTAACGCTCTCTACATGGGGCTGCCTTTGTCACAAATTCGGAAGCTGCAGCTAGTGCAGAATGCTGCAGCCTGGCTGTTGCTGGGTCTCTCCAGAAGGGATCACATCCGGCCTGTGCTGAAAGTGCTGCACTGGCTGCCAATGGCATACCGGATCCGCTTCAAAGTGCTGGTTCTTACCTTTAAAGCCCTATATGGCCAGGGTCCGGCTTATCTAAGGGAACGCCTTTTCCCGAATGTTCCCCCAAGGGCACTACGGTCGGGGAGTCAAAATCTCCTGGTAATTCCAGGCCCCAGGAATACCAAATTTGCTGTTACCAGGGCCAGGGCGTTTTCGGTGGCGGCTCCTACCTGGTGGAATGAGCTCCCACCAGGGCCAGGGCGTTTTCGGTGGCGGCTCTTACCTGGTGGAATGAGCTCCCAGAGGAGATCCGGGCCCTGCGGGACCTTGCGCAGTTCCGCAGGGCCTGTAAGATGGAGGTCTTCCACCAGGCTTTTGAGTAGGAGCCGCGACCACCACTATTCCATCACCGTCATCTTCTATTTCCGCACCTGTACCACCATTGTGTGGGAATCATCAGGGTGTGAGACGTTCCTGGATGAAGATGGGATGACAGTACTGTTGGGATGTATGTTGTTGGTCTGATAATAATAACTCCAGAACCCCATCTTGTAATTTATGATCTATGTGACCTTTAGAGCACCGACATTTTAGTGTATAGTGATGTATTGTATTGTTTTACTCTGTTTTTATTGTTTTAACTTTGCCATTTATGCCTCATTGTTAGCCACCCTAAACCTTCGGGGAGGGCGGGATATAAATCTAGAAATAAATAAATAAATAAAATCTTCATAGAAAAGGATTATCCTATAGGGTTGCCAGATCCCTACCTTTTGCTGGCAGGGGCCTCCACAGAGTCACCATAGAGCTTTTAGCCAAATGCTAGAGCATCCCCCCCCAGGCAACGGGTGATGCCACTGCTCCGGGCACATCAAGCACGGCGAAGCTCTTTGTTTTTATGTAAGTCGCCCTGAGCCAGCCTAGATCGGGGTAGAAATCTAATAATAATAATAATTGGCTGGCGATGGATTTGGGAGCCCGAAATTGGGGGAACCCCCGCCCCTATTGCGGGGGGGATGGCAACCCTACTGTCATAATACCAAGTCAGAAGGTTCATACTGATTGCTAAATATAGGTTAATTCAACTGGGAGACAGAATACGCTCTATCCACGGTTTGGTTGCTGGCCCCAGGGGGAGGGCGTGGAGGCTGGGAAGCCTTGAATGGAGTGAGGGATAGCCAGCCAGACTCAGTGGCAAAAGTGAAGGCCGCAGGGAGGAGTAAGCCAGTCTAGTCTGATCTCGTGTGTGGAGCTTAAATATCCTGCCCTCCACATGGGACAAGCAAGATCCTGCCTCTCACAGTCGTATGCAAACAATAAGAAGAACAGGCTGGAATATGAAAGTCTCAGCAGTATTACTCATGTCATTTCAAAAGATCATTAGCATTCTCTCCCTTTAAAGGGTTATTTAGCAGTAAACACATAAAATATTCTTCCCCCCTCCTGCCTCTGATATAAAGGACCAAACAAGGACTATTTAGCCCAAGAAGTGAATGTTCTTTTTTTCCCCCTGGCAGCAAATGCAACAGCATAATTATACTGGTAAGGAGAATAATTATGAGCACAGAATGTACAGGACAAAATATTTTTGGCAACAGTCGCTCAGATTTGAAAGTAAAAAAGCCTATAGATTCCCTGAAAGTGCTGGGAAACACGATCAAAACATGAAACCATTACTTCTATATGCTCGTAGAAATGAAATAAAAAAACAAAATAGCTTGGATAACGAGCCATTTGAAGAGATATCTAATACTTTTAATCAAAAGGAAAGGGTGGAGAGAAGAAGGGGGTAGAATCACGGACTTATTTGTTATTGAATAATGGAAACATTTTTTTACCCAAATGATTATCCAGGTCAAAAGAATTTTTCTATGATCGTTGCAACTGGACTTAGGAACTCAGCTTCAGCTCAGAAGTTCATTTACAAATCTCCCCAAATCCCACCTTTTCTGTGAAGCCTTTAACCTAACCTTTAAGGTCTTTCATGCTGAGCTATTTTAACTCTCACCTCGTCCATTCCTCAAGCATGTCTTCCTTGCTGTCAAAACGTAAATTGTTGCAGGCTCATTGGGACAGGACGTTTGTTCTCTTTTCAGTGTTGCAACAACAGTACTGCACAAACAGTGTTCCACAAAACCCACAGCGGGAATCTCCCCCCCCCCTTGGCAGCAAGAACCACTGCCCCCCTCTCCCTACCTGCTTACAGAGCCCCTGCCTACAACCGCCCGGCTCATGCTCCCACTACTCCTTCCCGGATGTCTTCCCACCCTCCAGCAGCCAGTGTTCCCTCTAGGCTGAGCTAGTGTGAGTGAGCTCACAGCTTTTTAGCCTCTGGCTCACACTTTTTTGGCTTAGCTCAGGAAGGAGGGCTCCAGAGCAAACTGATTTATGCAGCAGCCAAATCGCCTGCTCACAACTTTCATGCCAGTCGCTCACAAAGTAGAATTTTTGCTCATAGGACTCCGCAGCTTAGGAGCACTGCGGCTGCAGCCCTGTTGTCTTCACCTGCCTTCACCCCCAGATCTGTAGAAAAATGCCCCCTATCTGTACATGAACCCGTTTTCTGGTTTTTTTTTTTATCTGCACGGGGCGGTTCAGAATTAGATACACAATTAAAAACAAAAATGTGCACGGCTGATTGATTTGAACAAGATACTATTGTGAGAACTACTGTAGCATAAAGGGTAGGTGTCAGCCGATTCACCTCTTGTCTCCGTCAGGCTCTTGCTGGGTGCTCCTAGGCAAGCCATATTCTTAGCTTCAATACGGGGAAGGTGCTGCTAATGACCTGCTATATAAGGCTTTCTCTATGGATTACTGAAATGACTGAGAAGAAGCGAACGTAAACACTGAATAGTGTTAATACGTCCAGACGCAGGAATATCACTCTAGGTTTTGTCCCATTCCTGTGGTCCTAGGCCTGTAGGATAGGAAGCAACAGACCCTTATGAACCCAAAGACCACTACATAGATCTTTTTCAAATCAGACTTCCTATTTTCTTTGTATGTTTCCCCCCTTTTCACTTTATTGTAAAATGAAATGCTTTAGCAGAATATACAACAGAATTAACTAAGTGCTTTTAATATTTCAAGTTGTTAGTTGTAATAGTTCTGGGTGGGAATGGAAGATACTGTCGTGGAAAACCATGGATGGGAACTAGAAAGAGGTTGCAGGAAGTCCAAGTATGTTTTTGCAAATTAAACGGTCCTTGTTGGTTTACTGTCACCACTATCAATACGTCAGTATCCTAACTCTGTTTCAAAACATTGTTCATTTAGATTATAGGCACAATAGGGTTTTAAAATGGAAAAAAACCTGTCAGGTAGTTACCGTAAAAAGTCACTTTCTCACAATGGTCCTTGGATCAACAAGGCAATAATGGGAAGCTTGCTGAGAAGCCAGCCACATTTTTATGATCAAGGGAAAATTCCGGATTGTTCAGGGCTGGGGAGGCGGGGGACCTCCACCACACCAATTTTACCATTACTGGTCACAACTGACCAGCAGGTTCCATTTAATGTTGCACATCCTGACATCACATCATCTGTCTATAATTGCATTCCGCCCTTCCTCCAGGATGCTCAGGGCAGCATACATGGAAGCTTCCCCCATTTTATCCTTGCAATAATTCCATGAAGTAAAGTAGGTGAGAGCAGTGGACTAAACCAAGATAATCCAGCAAGTTCCATTTTAGCGGGAATTTGTCCCTGATCTCCCTAGTCCAAAGTCCATCCTTCTATGCATTACTGTCAGGTAACCCTGTCATAGTGTTCATCATCAAGTTTATTGTATTAGCCATTGGCCATAACAAAGCATAAATACAAACACAATCCTTATATATCACATTAAATTATCCCTTCACTAACTTGCGCTGAATCCTAACCTTAATCTTATCTTTTTTGCCGCCAAAGCAAACAGGGACATTCTGCTGGTCACATATACGTCCATATCAGAGAGCAAAAAAACAACCAACTCCTGTTTCGAGAATTCATTGTGCAAAGGTAAAATAGGGTATATAAATCTCTGCCTAAGTGATTCATGCCATGAGCATCTCAGTAAATAGTGCTCAATATCATCCACTTCGCCCAAACCACATTGACAGATTCTTAAGGCAACAGGTAAACCCATAAAACGACCAACACAGACCATTGAAGGAATGGCATGGAATCTGAGGGCTGTAAATGCCCTTCTTAGGTCAAGATTGGTTAGTTTCTCTAAATAGCCAGTCCTACAGTGATCTCTTTTAAAGATCTTAAACAGAGGGGCTGTTCGGCAACTTGCCGCCGCATGAATATTCAAAAGGCCGTCCTTATGAAATACCCATTCCTTCAATTTGGACTTTTGATTATCATTGTCCGCTAAACCCATTAGGTCATCCAGAATTGAGTATTCCTGTAGGATAGAAGACAGATAGTCATTTAAACTTTTGGAAGATTTCAACAATAATCCAAAACTTTGGACCCCTAGGATATCCTGGGGTCGTTCCTGACATTTCCTCCAGTAGGACCCTGTCATAGTGTTGGAATGGGAGGGGGGGTATTCTCTCCTGCCCCTTCTCAGCACTTCTCTGTCCACCTTGAAGATGTTTTCTGTAATTCCCCGGCCTGGAAAATGTAACTGCTTTAGGCACTAAATAGCTTGCTTGCTAGCAGGGCCCCCGCGCGGGGAAAACTTAATTGGCTTGGCGGAGGGGGCAGTTTGAATATGCTATAAGTCAGTGGCCATCTTATTATAGGTCATTCTTAACACAAGCTGTATACATGTACTTTAGTCCTGCGTTACCATAATGAATACCTATCTTCTGGAGAAGCCTGGGTGTGTGGATCACCTACCTAAAGTTCCTGACAATGACACTATGTTCTTCTCTTGTCTCCCTGCCTGGAAGGAAGTGTTTTGCCAACTAAATTTGTGTGTCAGGCTACTGTTAAAAGCACAGGAGCTCTGAAGGAAAGTGGCAGCTCCATCCACTGGGACGGCCTGGGTGGCTATCTGAAAGCCCTGAGGTCACACCCACAGAGATTACCTGCCTGATAACAACTTCACTGCCCGTGACTGATTAGACAAAGAGATTCCATGGAATATCACTATGAGCGACATTCATTCCTATCACAGTCATTTTCTTATGCTCAGACTCACAGAAGGAAACATGGTGAATGCCAAGTCAGGGCCAAACACACACAAAGACCTATTTTGCGTCTCAAAAAAAGAGAAAGCAATTTATTTTCCTGAAGATTTCAAACCAGAAGAGGTCACAGCAGCACAGTATTCTAAACCCGTGGCTTCTAAAGCGTGAACAATTCATATTGAAATTCTCAGATTTATAGTGTTACATTGTCTGTATGGTTGCAAAAACCAAGATATGTATTGCAACACAGGTGCCACAATCAATACAGAGCCATTAATTGTGCTGATTTACGCTCTCTTTTCCTCCTATATTTAAAAACAGACTGGAATCCTGTTTTTAAATATCTGAAAAGGTGAACAACAAGCCTTACCTTTTAGATAAGACCAAGTGACAGTATACTGGTGTTTAGATAAGATTCAGTGACAGTATACAGGTGTATAATGTTTCCACATCTAAGCAGGAGAACATGAATGAGACCATCAGTGAGGCCTTGGGAATGTGAGGCATGAAGGTCTCTGGGAAAATTTCTGGGATTGGAATGTGAGTGATCGACTTCTGCTGCATACGTTTAGATCTGCTTCAAGGAGAGGTGGGGTATAAACAAATTTAGAGCGTCTTGCTGTACAACAACAGACTTCAATGTTTTTCATACCTGGGACCTATTTTAGACAACCAAGCAACAAGGGACCCAATGAACTGCAAGCATGTAACATCTAGTCACATGACAGGAAGAAGAGGAGCCGGAATTATCACCTCACTGAAGTCTAGGCCACGTCGGTGGGATAAAAGCAAGAGCAATCCACGAGTAGAAACCCATTTCCATTGCAGATTACTCTTACTCAAAACGCAGCAAGTTGTTATGACATGGAGGAGAAATTAAGATATGTACAACCTGGTCTCTTTTTGTTGTTTTTCTGTTTAACGGCCTCCATGCCAAATCTGCCAAGCAAGTATGAAAAAAGCCCTCTATCTGCATAGGGATACAACACCCATGACCTGAGGGATTCTGGCCAGTAAACAGTATGTGTGAAGAGTAGTTTAAGCAAGTAATAAAAGTTCAATAAATACCCTGGCTGCGAATTAAGAGATAATAAAACAGACACGTTGTTAATTTTATATTGGAAGTGTTACATATTGAATATCTGCTTCAGATCCCTGTGATTTTAATATGTAAAAGTCTGATCGATAGCAATCAGACTTTGAATATGTTCTGACACTGCACCGCAAGAAGCAAAACAGAGCTTACGTTCTGCCGTTTGCATTATAATCTCGTCCAGCTCTTTTTCCAGTTTTTCATATGTGTCGAGTCTTGCCTGGTAGTCAGAATTTTGCGACTGAAGTTCCAAAATCTGCTTCTCACTGGCTGCTTGAAGACTGTAAAATTCTTTGGTTAAAACCTATGGAGATGGAAATCAATGCAAAAGTTAATTAAACTCAGGTCTATAAATTACAAAAGGAGGCAAAAGGGCATGCAGGTAAAACATTTGCAAGCTTATTTAAATAGGTATTTGACATAATTTAGGCCATAAATCCCGCGTTCCGTGAAAAGCAGTTATTAAATGAAAATTTGTATCACGAAACTCAAATCCCAGAACAGCAAGTTAAATTCAGTTTTAAAAGGTAACATCCTTCCCTGGTTTGGTGATTCGCAAAATTCCTACATTTATTTATTTATTTTAATTTATGTCATTATATTTATACCCCGCCCTCCCCGCGAGCGGGCTCAGGGCGGCTTACAACAAGGCACAAAGTGCATACAGTATAAAATAGGTAAAACAGTTAAAATTCAGTTCAATCAGGATGCAAGAATAGAAAGATCCCAACGTCTTGCATACCAGAAGGGGAGGGCCAGGGCCGTAGATAGATGTTACTTGGCCCTCCGGTGGTATCGCTGTATAGTGGAGCGGTGGTGGTAGTGGCAGTGGCGGCTCCTACTTGAAAGCCTGGCGGAAGAGCTCCGTCTTTCAGGCCCTGCGGAATTGCAAAAGGTCCCACAGGGCGCTGATCTCCTCCGGGAGCTCATTTCACCAGATAGGAGCCGCCACTGAAAAGGACCTGGCCCTCGTTGCCGCAAGCCTGGCCTCCTTGAGGCCCGGAGTCACCAGCCGGTGTTGTGACCCCATACGTTTCTCGAGGCCACTGGTGGTGAGGCGCATCAGAAAATTGTCAGGGAAGACTTACAATGGGCTCATTGCAGTAACATGGCAAGATTACGATCCCTAGTTCCTTCAAGCTGATGTACCCAAGCAAAGTCTGCCCTTTTTAAAGGGATGAGTCATTCTTTACCAGCACTGGTTTTTTACCACAATTTCAATAAGATGGTTCCTTACCACCCAGTGAGTGCCTAGATGGAGGAAGGGGAACGTTCGTGTGTTGTTGGCTTTGCCAACATAGCTTCTGGACACAAACGTTAAAAGAGGCTACAGAATACTGCTTATTGTGCACAAATTGCCCTTTAGATAACCATAACGCTGGTCTGGATTCTACAATTCATCCGCGGAAGGTAATGTAGGACACATGCATAATCCTTGCACCCATGGATCACTAGATCCAGCCCATTTTCCTTCCTCCCAATCCTCCTCTTAATAAATCAATGAGAGTAGCCTGTCTCCCCCAAAATCGCAAGGATTGCCATTCTCTTTGCAAAGGGAAAAGCCACACTGTACCAGTATGGAAGCATTTGTTCTCACATAGGCTTACGGATGCATCGGTATCACTGAGTCTACCTCAGCGGCAGTCACATGTGTAACTGATGTGTAATTGAATACGCTCTCCATAGCCAGTGTATTCAACAACACATTATTTTATTGCCTGACTGAGCTGTGCCGGTCTACTGAAACCTTTTGTACCTACTTCCAGTTTTCGCTGGTACTTCTCACACTCCAGCTGACACTGTGAAAGATTCTTGGAGGTTTCCTCTTGCATGAGCTGCGTGCGCTCGCTTTCAAAGGACTTTAATTTATTCTGGTGGAGGAGTTCCGCCACTTTGCTTTCTGTGCTGAGCTGCAGCTGCCGATACCTGAAAAAGACCCAAGGTGGTGTGGTGTGTAACATAAGCAGCTCAACTGAGCCAAGTCACTAACATTCAATATGCTCGGCCAGGCCTTTGGCGTGGTCTCCTGTGAGAAGAGGGTGGCTGAGTTTGAGAGACAGTGTTAAACTTCTGCTCACCATCATTATCTTTAGATTTTTATTTTTGTTTGCTAAATTTGGGAGTGCTAATAACTAAGCTACAGGATTAAAAGACCAAGAGTCCAGTAACATCTTAAAAGGTAAAGGTAAAGGTTCCCTTGCTCGAAAGCCAGTCGAGTCTGACTCTAGGGTTGCGGTGCTCGTCTCCGTTTCCAAGCCGAAGAGCCAGCGCTGTCCGAAGACGTTTCCGTGGTCATGTGGCCGGCATGACTAAACACCACGGCGCACGAAACGCTGTTACCTTCCCACCGAAGTGGTACCTATTTATCTACTTGCAATTTCTTGCTTTTGAACAGCTAGGTTGGCAGGAGCTGGAACTAGAGACGGGAGCTCACTCCGTCATGTGGCACACCTGGGTCTCGAACTGCTGAACTACTGACCTTCCACAGCCTGCAGTTCAGCGTCTTAACCACTTGAGCCACCGCAGCTCAACATCTTAAAGACCAACAAAATTTGGGGCAGGGTAGGGGCTTTCGTGATGAAAGCTCACACCCTGCCAAAAATTTTCTTAGTCTTTAAGGGGCTACTGGACTCTTGCTCTTTTCTATTGCTGCGGACAGGCTAACAGGGCTACCCATCTTGATCTAGGCTACAGAATGTGATCCATCCTATTCACATACACGTTGGAGTAGGACCTAATGAAGTCATTAGCTCTTACTGCTGAGTAAAGATGCATAGGATCTGGCCATTGACTTTTCATTTAGAAACTGTGCTTTGTGAGTTTTCCCCGGGATCCCCAGAAACATTGAAAAACCTGTCTGGAAGAAATAGTCCCTAACTCATTTGCTGGCAAGTTTTACGAACGGGCCATATGAATGCTGGGGCTCAGAGCAGATCCTAAGCCTTGCTCGCAGTCAACGTCGTCCTGCTGCTGAGGTCGTCCTCCATTGTGCGGTGCATTACTCCGGCGCCAGAGGCTTCCATCCATACAAGGTCAGAGTTTTCCAATGAGCCGAAAAGCACCTTGTGCCAGAGGTGAGTGGTGTGCGATGGAGGACTGAGAGGAGTGCAGACGGAAGCAAGGGTTGGGATCAAAGGCTGTAAATATTAATTAAAAACAGCGTCCTGCCGGCTACTTGCTATCTTTTTCTTACGCCCGCACAGAGACAGAGTGATGGAAGTTATTAAAGCTGCGCCTGTATCTATTCAGTGCATTTTTATCCTGCCCTACTCCATAAAGTTGAGGTGCCGATAGCAATTCCCAGAGAAGGCATCTGCACTTCCAAAAGGTGTCCAAGCCTGGGCTTTGGCAGGGATAACTATGCCCTGACCTGGATGGCCCTGGCTAGCCCAATCTTGCAAGATCTCGGAAGCTAAGCAGGGTCGGCGCAGGCCAGTATTTGGATGGGAGACCTCCAAGGAACACCGGGGTTGCTAGGCAGAGGCAGGCAGCGGCAAAAGCACCTCTGAAAGTTTCTCGCCTTGAAAACCATATTGGGTCGCCGTAAGTCAGCTGCAACTTGATGGCGAAAAACAGCAGCAACAAGTTTAAGGACTGAGAGAATTGCAAAATGGGGTGGCCAGCAAAGCTTCCTCTAAGCTTGGGAGTCTTGTGAGCAAAAATCCTACTTGGTGAGCTACTGGCATTAAAGTTGGGAGTGAGCGATTTGGCTACTGCATAAATTAGTTTGTTTTGGAGTCATCCCTTCCTGAACTAAGACAAAAATGTGTGAGCTGGTGGCTAAAAAACTGTGAGCTAGCTCACACTCACTAACTCAGCTTAGAGGGAACACTGGTTGCCAGTCCCCTGGTGGATAGATGCAGCAGTGGGAGAAATTTTTTTTAAAGGCCACTGGACATACGGCATGACATCACTCCCAGGGAAAACCCGGGAGTGACATCATACCTCTCTAGGAATCCATGTTAAAACCATACCTATGGGACTGCCTTTCCTGTGTACAAATCTCCTTCATGTCAGCTGCTTCTGTGTACATGAAACTGCACAAATCCCAAGGCCATTACGCACATGTGCATTTCACTAAAGAGCACACCGCATCGGTATGTGCTAAAGCCATAGCTAGACCTGGCTTCCCCAGGGAATGAGCAGTAAAATTTCCACATGCTATTGACACATTCAATCTCAAACAATAATTTCATGCACTTAACACAAAAGAAAACACATTACGCAAAAGCAACACCCCCGAAGGAAACCCGTCTTGGGGGAAGCAGCCTTGTGATGCCACAGAATGGGAATTCTACCGCTGTGGTGCAGACATCAAGATTCAGATCGCCCCATGAAAGTTTCCCCCCGAACAGTTAAAACTTAAAATTCGCTTTTTAATCTTGGTTCATGGGAATATTCTGGGGAGATAAGGTTTCCTTGGGGAAAAAAATGCGCCAGAACAAGAGCCTTCAACTTCTTTAACACCTGCGACCAATTTTCATCCCTAACCTAAACTAACGAAGTAGACTCAACTGCATGCAACAGCCACATGTCGAGATGCATTCAATTGTTGCTTCCTGAGCCTTATATCCTTCGTTTGCAACATTTTTTGCCAGAGTTTTCTTGTCCTCTATCTGTTGAGACATTCCCTCCCAGAGAAACCCCATTATCACCACAACATTGACGATGTGGAGACCTAGGGCGCCAGCTGTGTACACCTTCGTGCCCATCATGTCTAGCGTACACCACTCTTTATCAAGGGGAGAGGAATGTGGACCTGCTGTCTGTTTAGAAGGTAAGACCTCCGTGACTAGAGAGTTAGCAACAGGGTGCTAGAAAAGGAGCCCACATCCCTCTTCCTTAATTTTGTTCAGGTTCTCCACTTACTTTGTGGAGGCTTGACCCAAACATTAGATGTTCTGTCCAGAATGCCCTTGACCATAGGCAGCATGATTGGACCAGCATACAGAACACTAATAATCAGGACTGCTGACTTTGGATCTGGAGAGGTGCAATCCAGATCAAGGGCCTTAGCCATTATGATAAGTTGTTCCGAATACAATTTTAGGTCTTCCATCAGCACACGGGTGCAAGATCTCCCCCAGTTGCATATGGAGAAGGGAGGGACATGCTTTCAGAGTCATTTTATGATGCAGGGTATTGAGGTTCATCTGAAACCAAGGACAGCGGGTCCTAAGTGGCCTTTGGAAGGTGACACTGTATCTCAGGTGTGCTCTGTGAACTCATCCCAGGACAGGTTGTGCTTGCTGGAGGTTGTCAATGTGGGAAAGTTTGAGATGTATCCCATTGGCCCCAAGGTGGCATTACCCCACTGTGTTTGAAGGAGCCAGTATCCTGACTGAGGCATTTCAGGGCTTGAGCTGGTGGACGGTTGCCCGGCCGAGGGCTGGTCTTGTGCCTTCGGAATCAGAGGGGGAACGTCAACAACATCATCTTCTGAGGATTGATAGTCTGTCGCTCCCAAGGAGGGGGATGGCGTAGGTGGCTGCTGAATGGAGATCCTCTCTCCCTTGAAAGATATGCTACGGTGTCAACAGACAGGAGAATGGAGCAGAGGTGACTAAGCTGAGGTGACTAACATCTTAGAATCTGATCTGGTGATGGTGTTCGGTGTCGAGGGCTTTCCTGAAGTCAGTATCAAGTGGGCAAAGCCAAGAACTTACTCAGAGGTGAATGATGTTGACTCCATGGAGAAGGTGAGCATCAGGCCCAAGTTGGAGATGGACCCTGATGTGAGGAGACGAAGGCAAATGATGTTGAATGGGTGATCAAGGTGGAGACTTAGTTTTTGTGTTGGGGGATTGGTCGTGTTGTGATAACGTTGACCCTGAATGCTTAGATTTCTTCTTAGCTTTTTTGCTGGGGATTCTGAAGCCACTCTTTGAATGGGCAAGGCCCCTTTGGTGCCAAGCTTAGATTTCAATGTTGAGACTGAGGCTACTGAGGGAGTATGAGATCTTTTGTGGAAGGACTTGGCTGATTTTGGTGGGACGCCTAATGATTTCTCCTATAATGCCATTTTTTAGGCAATAATCGATCTCGATGAGCTTTGGGGGTGGACAGTTGCCATGCTTGGCAGGTGCCTGTATCGTGCCCTTCTCCCAGGCACTTTAGGCATTCAGTATGCTCATCATTCTGAGCTGTTTTGGTGCTGCAGGATTGGCACTTTTTAAACAAGGCCATGATGTTTAAAGACAGGATATTTTGCTCTCAATAGTCAAGAAAAAAAGCCATTCGCAACACCTGAACACGTTTTCTCAGAAGAAGCTTGTGGAAAGTCCTTTCTCCATGGTGGCAGAAAGAGAACTGAGGGAAGAGTGCTCTCTCCCCCTCTGTCACATGACCATTTGGGTGGGAAAAGGGCTCTAACTCTGATGGAGGGGAGGGGGGAGCACTCATCAGCGGAGCTTTCTAGAAGCTTATGGAGTTTTTCCTTCCATAGCAGGCCTGCACCGATGCAGTCCCATGAGAGACTGTGATATTTTGTGGGTTTGGATAGAGTTGTTATTGTGAATTGATAAGGCAGAAAGGTAGCAAAAAACAGAGTTCATAGAATTCTCTGACCTCTTCGCCAAAGACACAATTATAAACCTGGGTACAGTGGATCTCTTATATCGGCTCTGTTTTCCTTCACTGACCAGGAAAGAGAAAAGAACAAAGCTGGAGTCCAGTGGCACCTTTAAGACCAACAAAGTTTTATTCAAAGTGTAAGCTTTTGTGTGCAGATCACACTACTTCAGGCAAAGAAGAGAAAGAGAAGGGGTGTGCTAGTCTCTTACCAACTCAGAGATGGATCTCCAGGACCCAGGATGTTAAATACTACAATATTGGGTATCATCAGTCGCTGTATCTGTATAGAAATATTTATTTCTATAAATCCCTGCCTTCCCCTGGAATGCTTCGCTGATATCCTGCTGTGTTGC